CTTCCCGATCAAAATTACCACTCCTGAACTTAGAGAGATACTTATAAACAGTACTCCCAGCTATGCCACCATCCTCATAAACGGTACATATATATTTTGCAATTTGTTTGTTTGTTTTTTACTTTCCAGAAGTAAAAGAGTTTCAAATAATGGAAATACAACACATTTTTCTTCATATTCGTGTTTAACATAAAAACATTTACAATTCACAATCTATACACAAATCGTGTCGAAAGACGCTTTGAAATGTCACCTTTGGGAATATTTATATATATTATAAATTTCAGTTGCATGTTAAAGGAAATCTGTTATTCAAAGACAACCTTTTGAAAAAAAAAACACTGCGAACTTTTGTTCCGACCCAATATATTATTAAAACTAATCAATTCTTCGTTTCATATCAATGAACAACAGAAACGGAATCGAGAATGTTTTATCGCAACCAATTAATGGTATTAATCCTCACTGACTTTATCCATTTTTTCCAGTCCTTTTTGATAAATGCAAATCTCGTGGGATTGAGCGAAATCTCATGAGATTTCATGCTAAGTCGGCCAAATTGAGATTGTTGATTTATCCGAAGTAGAATGTTTATATCCCAACGTAGGGAAAATTGTAAATTGCTTTAAGTGCGACTCTGCCAACAGCTGACTGAGAAGCATTCGAGACTGCTCTTCTGGGGATATTGAACTTTCATCTCGGTTCCTTCTAGCTCTGAACTGTCCAATGTTCGAGATGCAGAATTCATTTGCAGGATATCCCGCTCCCTCGTACACTAAATGGGTCAACATATTATGATTGTTTTAATATCAATATTTTTTTTATTGAGAAATATATAGCTTATTACATAGATTGTTTTGAGTAAGTCTTTCTAAAAGAAGGACAGACTGCTTTCAATGTAAGCTTTCGAAATATTAACATTTTACCAGGGTTCGAACACTGACCTGTTGTGAAGACATAACAAATTCAGTTAAGAGGTTTTCGAATATTCTGTTTAATCATTTCACCCCATGCAAGGCAATAAAGCCACTAAGATGCAAGGGGGTTACTGAATGTCCAAGAATATAAGAAAAAGAAAATGTTATTAAGGAAAGAGAACAACAAAAGAACAGAAATAAAGTGAATATAAGATAACGATTGATGTTGCATTTCAATTTTAAAATCGAAGATCAAAGTAGACTGGAAAGCCATAAGCGAGAGAGAGGAAGAGGAAGAGAGAGTTCCAGTGCCGAGATAACGATTGACATTGCATTTCAATTTTAGAAGAAAAAAGATTGATGAAAAGCAAGAAGCTATAAGAGAGTTCCAGTGGTGAGAAGTGCAGTAGAAAAACTGTTAGCATAGAACTTACGGTTACGTCTAGCCATATCAATTATAAAATGATGAGATCTAGCTACTAATCTAATACTGCGCTTAAATTGCAAAGTTTGCGTACCAATGACGTAAACTCGTCAGAAAGAATAATCGCCATGATAATATTTGTAGAAAAGACACAGTGAAGGTCTGTTATGGCGATGTGAAAGTGACCGAAACCGAGCTATCAGGTCAGGACCAATAACTTTGCGGATTATTTGGATTTTATCAAGAATCTTTAAATACATAGCATAAACACCAGACCAGATGTGGCGCAATATTCAGTATTTATATAAATTAATTTTGTCAATTTTGTTCTTACCTATATCGACGACTGCTGAGGGTTTTAGTCGCCATTTTTTACTGGAGCGTAGATTAAAACAGGAAATTTATTTTGCCTTTTTGGCTTCAATATATGACAAATAATATTGAGTTGAGTTGTAGGTGTTTGTCTAAAATCTTTACTGCCATTACTTTTCAAAATCATAGAAATATTTTTCCTTTTTTTCTTTACGAAACATTAGCTTCTAAAAGATCTGTTTTAGTCTTATATACGGGAAAAATCTCCAGTTCTCATGGCTGAAAATGAATACAAATGGATTAGCCAAAAATGTGCATTTAACATCAAAGCAACAAACACATATCTACACTAGGATAACAGATCGAAACAAAATATTCATTTTAATAGAGGATCAGATTTTTAAAAAAAATACAATTAGAAATCTTTTAAACTTAACAGCTAAAATGCCCCACCCCTTTTAACACATAATTTAGATCCTCGGCTTTTTATTTTGTGCCGTTGTTTCTGAACTTAGTGACATATCTCTTGTACACGTATCGAGGCCTTATCCTCATCGTGAGGCCAGTGTGTCAAATGAAAATACCAGCTGCCACGATTGCATTCACTTTCGCACAAACAGCCTTTTCAAAGGCATGAATCTATTTTCCCTTACCTAGCGAAGGGTTAATAGCAGGGAAGACTGAGCCTTCTGGATTTGGTTGGTAACCAATCTAGAGCAACTCTGATTATGAAACTGTGTGTTAGGCTAATAACTCCATCCCATAAAAATCTACTTGCTCCGAAAAGCACAGCAGCAAATCCTAATGTGGTGAAGCTGTGATCCTAGCGTGGTGAGGCTGTGTTTAGAAAGAGTAAAAAAAATGTGACACATTCATAGAGATCGATATAAGGCGATGATGAAGAGCGAAGAAAATCTGTTGAAAACATTTTTAATTTTAAAACAATTTCCACAACATTTGGAGAAAAAATATTATCAAGTATCATCGGATTTCTTGTTAATTCGGACATGTATATTTATTTATGTTTATTAGCATAGAATGGGCAAGCCGAGTTCAAATTCCCGCCTAGGCCAAGGCATTAATTTCGCTTTATTGCCCTTGAGAAAAGCATGAATCCAGCTATTCTCCGTTCAGTCATGGATAGTAATAGGCAGACTGGGTTTTTAATTCTTGGTAAGCCAATCAGACTAGAAAAGGCCAACGAATCATGGGACTGTGTATGGTAGAGCAAGTTCCATTAATCCCCATATCTAATAGAGTCCTAGACTAACCTGAGAAAATGGCGGAAACTGAAACACACACACACACACACACACACACACACACATATATATATATATATATATATATATATATATATGAGCGATCTGACGGTTGCGTCCAGCATTAAACAACCTGTCGCCTCTGAGTGTTGACTACAATGTTCACTTTTATATTTATATTGACATATGCTCTATCTCTGATATTGAGCACTTTATCACATGAATATAGCACACCTTAAAACTATATTTCTTCACATATATATATATATATATATATATATATTACGATATCTATTTGCTTATACATTTTAAGGTATTTCTGAGTCCGTTAAATTAAGTAGTGGTTCCACTCTTCCCAAAATCTCCAATCTCCCGATCAGGTACGTTCCTGCCGAATCTAGTTGGTCAAGAACCTAAATCGTTGGTGTTCCGATCGTGAAATCTGGGTTCGAATTTCGCCATGCATGTTTTTTAAGGTAGGAGAACTTTTCGATTCTAGTGGTGAAAATAACTCATAAACCGTATGACACGTGAAATTGCGTCGAGGAAACTAATCGCGCACTAGCTTCAAGTCACAAGCCATCGTGATCACGCGTTGTAGAAAATGTAACTAATTTTCGCTTTGTATGGCTGCAGTATAAACCATTGTGTGCATTTACAACAGGGATGAGTTAGCCACCTTACCAGACAGGATTAACTATAAAATGAATAGCTAGACATTATATATATATATATATATATATATATATATATATATATATATATATATATATATTAGCTCCAAAGTTCGTTCTTAGATTGTACGATGTTCGTTCTTAATCAAATATCTTTTACCGACTTCATTAAAAAAGATTGGTTGCCGAATTTTAGTTTCATCAGTATATGTTTTTACAAAGTTGTTAAAATTGCATTTTTCCAACAATGAAGACAAAATAACAACTTGTGGAAGCTAGTGAGGGCTCTTTTAGATGATTAATGAAAAGTAATTTAGTTTTGGAGGCGTTAAAATTAACGAGCCATCTTTTACCCCAGTTAACTACGGACTTGAGATCGTTTTGGAGATCGGCTGCCATTTTTGACCTTGTCGGTTTGATAAGCCTTACAATTGAGGCAGGAGTAATTATATCATTAGCGCAGATACCAAGTTGAGAGCTATGCCACCAGGGAGGCCATTAATGAAAATTAAAAACAGAGTAGAATCAAAGCTGGAACCCTGGGGGAAAATCTGCGTTAGTACGAAAGAATCTAGACGAGTGTCTGTTCAGGACAACTCTCATTTCCTGATCTGATAGGAAAGAGTGAATCATTTTAAAAAAGTGTCCGGATCATAACTTTTCAGCTTGTGAAGAAGACATGAATGCCAGGCCCTGTCAAAGGTTTTTCGAGATGTCAAATGCAATAGCCCGGGCCTCACCATTTTTACCTAGAGCATGATAAACTCTTTCCGCAAATATCGTCAGTACATCAGCAGTGGACCTGGAGAAACCAAGGCCATATTGCTTGTTCGAGAAACATCCCTGCGATGAAAGATGATGAACCAAAAAGTTCTACGCAGCTGTGATCGTCGAGTGTTTACTACATCCACATTGTGACCGAGAGTCTATGACGTGAAGAATTTCGCTTAAAGCCTTGCCACGTCGACTAAGTTCTTCATAGCTCAGTCGGTCTAGAGCACGTCGAATCTAACGATGGTTTCCTCTGCTCAGAGGTACACAGGGTTCGAATACGTCTTCAGAAAATTGACTATCATCTGTGTACAACCATTTTCTCAGATCAATGGTTAAAATGACTTCAAATGAATAAATCCTATCAAATAGACAATCCTTCATCAGAACTTATAGTTTTGGTGTTTCAAATGACTAAGAGATTGAGCGGAAGCGCCAGAAACGAACACTCCTTTGGACAACTTCTACATTTATTAAGTCCTAAAAGGAAATCTCATGTTCGCATAAAACAGAAATGCCCTGACAATAATTTTTAATTTTTCTGCGTAAGTAAATATAACAAACCCGACTGGAATTTGAACTCGGTTCTCCGATTTCCAATTCCGAGCCATTAACCATTACACCGTCCGCACATCCAGAAGTACAGCACCTAGTATTTCCAAGCGGTCACCCATCTAGGTTTTAATCAAGCTCGACGTTGCTTAACTTCAGTGATCGTACGAGAACCGGTATTTCAACGTGATATGATATATAGGGAGGGATATACACATTCCTGTCCACCTTCACAATACTTGTCAAAACCAATATACTACGTCACGAAAAGCACATCGATGTGGTGTAATGGTTAGCAAGCTTGTCTACGACTAAGTAGTGTGTTCGATCCTCACTGGGTGCCCCACACTTTCGGCCTTGTGCCACATCGAAGCAGTACTCAGAAAATCACTGTCTGGTAAAGGTGGACACCTCGGGGCGGTGTAATGGTTAGCAAGCTTGTCTCACTAGAAACATTACGACTGAGTAGTGAGTTCGATCCTTACTAGGGCTTTGTGCCACATCTAAACTACGCTTGTAGAATCACTATATTACGTCACGAAAATAATAAACAAAAACTTCAATTTCTTGAGGCCCTCTATATCAAAATCAATCAACAAAGACCCAATAAAATTTATTACGAATATAGCATCAACATATCAAAATGCATCTAATATTTAATGCCATTTTACATTTCTACCAATTCCAGATCAGCTCCCTTATATTGAAACGCTTGTTCCATATCCACAACTTATAAATTTAATATATATATATATATATATATATATATATATATATATATATATATATATATATAACAGAAACTCTTCGTGCGTGTTTTTAAAAGCCGCTATCACAACGGAATGCAGATTTTATCGCAATTACAATAAATTTGTTTTTGTCATTTACCGCTGAAGATGATCTTAGAAAAAGTCGAAAGTTGTTGAATAAAAAAAACTACAGCGCCTTCTTTGATGAATTTCATCTTCACATCAATAGTCTGGTTAGAGAACTGGAAGGGATAAGTATAAAGATAAGTAGGAGCAATATGTGTGCATTATTAAATGAAATATTTTTGATTGAAGATATGGTCCCTATATATATATATATATATATATATATATATTCTTTATTTTAGGATATTCCATCGAAAAACATATCAAAATTGCTACACAATGGCAGTCGTGTTTCGTTGCGTATCAACGAATCTCATCAGGCTTAATTTACAATGTGTAATTTACAATCGCCTGATGAGATGCAATGATACGCATCGAAACACAACGGCAACTGTGTAGCGATTCTGATGTAATATCATAAAATAAAGTATATTGCTCTACTTTGTGTTGAATCCTCTTTTAAATTAAATGTTACGAACGTTGGAATTGTACTCTATTCGTTCTCATCTTACCTGGATATATATGTAGAGATAGATAGATAGATAGATAGATAGATAGATAGATAGATAGATAGCACGAGTAACTACACAAACACACATACACACTCAGATTGTGTATGCATGTTTGTGTAGTTACACGTGTTGTTATAATCTATTTCCTATCTCCTCTCCAAACAATATCAACATCTCTTCAATGATGTATTGTAAAATCGAAATTCAATATAATCTTATTAACAATGAAGTTCAGTCTGAATTTTCGGATAATTTACAAAGACGATGTTGAATTCCCAACACAGAACGCAGACTCCTACAGCGCTCAAGGAAAAAAGATCAAATCTTTTTTAAAGATATAACGCTATTTAGGCAGTAGGCGCTCATAATTTAATGCTAAATAATTCATCTTTCACTTGGCAGAGAAAATTCTTAATAAACAGATCTTAACATTATCGAAATTCCCAGTCAATCCTGTTGCCTTGTCGTAAAAGATAAGCTGACGTTGTTCGACATTCAGCCTTCAGTAAGCTTTTATGAGTTTAAAATAAACTCTGAGTTCACTAATGGCTTTTGTTAATTTTAGTTTTTCACTATTTAAGATTGAGGTATTTGTTTAAACTATCCTATATTTCTCAAAGCTATACAAGTAATTTCAAAGTAAACCTTGGGTAGATTACAATCTTTTTAGATCGAAAAGCCGGGGTGTGGGTAAAAAGCGTTGTGATGATAGCAACAAAATAGGTGGAAATTAGTTTGAATGTAAGTAACATAATGATAGGTCTTCATTCCAGAAATACAGGTAAAAATTCTATTTTTATTTTAATACTTTGGTTTCTGTCGGTTTCAGTTATTTTTCTTACTTTCACTTTAATAATTCACTTACCTTTCTTACTTCAACAATTCTGTTACTTTTCTTACTTTCACTTTAATAATTCAGTCACTTTTCTTACTTTCACTTCAACAATTCTGTTACTTTTCTTACTTTCACTTTAATAATTCACTTACCTTTCTTACTTCAACAATTCTGTTACTTTTCTTACTTTCACTTTAATAATTCAGTCACTTTTCTTACTTTCACTTCAACAATTCTGTTACTTTTCTTATTTTCACTTTAATAATTCACTTACCTTTCTTACTTCAACAATTCTGTTACTTTTCTTACTTTCACTTTAATAATTCAGTCACTTTTCTTACTTTCACTTCAACAATTCTCTTACTTTTCTTATTTTCACTTTAATAATTAAGTCACTTTTCTTATTTTCACGTTAATAATTCAGTTACTTTTCTTGCTTTCACTTTAATAATTCAATCACTTTTATCCATTTCCACTGTAGCTTTCCTTTGCCTTTTCTATAAATAACTTCGTGTTGTTCTGATGACCTTTCCCCTTTGGTACCTAGACATTATGAATTTAAATACCGTAGTAGATTGGCGGGAAGTTCTCATCCTTTTTACATTTGAAATGTTTAGATCTAAGTCTAACTTCTAGGCTAACAGTTTCTTCTCTCACACTTCTTACTTGTGGAACTCTTTTCCAGTTTCTTATTTTTCAGTCAATTTTGATCCGACAGAGGATGGAACGCGTCGGCTAAGTTAATTTTGCCTTTTGCCTTTATTTACACACGCACATACACACGTGCGCGCACACACACATATGTGTGTTTGTGTATGTCTGAACATTAAAAACTTACAGACATGTTTCGCCATGCGATATATGTTAGTAAAAGCTTATCTCTTTCTGGCATAATATTCATCTTCTTTATAATGATTGAGAGAGACAATTAAAAAAAAGGGGTTTTTTGTTCACTTTTCGTCAAGGAAAAATTGTCAGCTGAGTTTTTCCTGAACAATAACCTTCATCGTTTTCACTTTTATTGTTTATCATTTCCTGGGACAGTTTTCAAATTTTCTTTCATTTTCTATTTACCATAAAATGAAACTTTCTTTTTCAAGTGGCCCATATTCGATAGATGACGTTGCTTAAGAGACTCTCGTCAGCGCAAAGAAAGTCTTCTTTGATTTGGATGAATTCAACATGGAGTATTAGTTATAAGAACATAAACTCAATAAATTTACTTTGGTTTATTTTCCTTCGCATAATCCAGAAAAAAATACTTTTTTTCTCTTTTATATCACATTAAACGAACGACAAACCAATTAGCGCAGATATTTTTTACTAATTTTTTAAAATCGGTATTACCCCATGCTAGGTAGTAAAGCCACTAAGAAACAGAGGGTTACGAGGTGTGAGGGGGGAGAGGAAAAGGTAAGGAAGGACATAAGATAGCGATTGACATTGCATTTAAATATTAAAGCTGGCTGGAAAGCATGAAGCTGGAAATTTATCATATGTATACTTAATTCCTTTTCTTTTATTGTCTTCTCTCCTTGAAATGTCCTCTTATCTTATATTCTCTAACACTCAGTGACTCCTTGCGTCTTAGTGACTTTATTGCCTTGCTTGGGGTGAAATGACTAAAGCAAAAATTCTTTTTGGGAGACATTGACGTCATCGTTCTCCACATTTATGTTGTGTCACCCCAAAATAACCTGTTTTTCTCTGCCATTGTCGCAGGTGTTATAGTGTTCTCCTTGCACTCTCTTTACTTTGTGCAAAGGTGAAAATCTGCCTGACAGTTCGGATCCCCCGTCAGCAGGATTCTAGTCTGATCCGTTCGAAGATGAAAACAAGATTCATTGGTGGCCAATTATGCAGTGACATTGGCGGCGTCAAACAGAACAACTGGAAAAATAATGGTAACTACAGAAAGTGAATGTTTATTCATAGCAACCTGTACAAGACATCTGCCCCATTCTCAGCAATCTGTATATAAGTGTATTCACTCGGATTTTTTAATATGCGGAGATTTGTTCAAAAGACGAATATTTGCCACGTTCCCCAATTAAATTCACTATCGCGGTGTCCTCTTTGTATTCTTTGCATTTCCTCAAGGAAGCGGCAGTTTTTAACGCATATATTCAAAAGTGATAAGCAATATAAGAAACTAAGCATTTAGACATTCTCTCTGAGCCGCCAAAGAAACAATAGTTTTTAACGGATGTATTTAAAAGCAATCAGATTAGTGGAACTCGTTAGCCTGGGATGTCAATCCATCTAAGAAAAGAAAAATTGCCATGCGAATATATCTAAACATGGGAAAGTCATAGAATATAAAACCTCAACATAAACCTTGAACCGGAATCCCAAAGAAAATCCGAGATTGAATACAACCATGTTCGGGCAACTCCTGCGATGACATTGGGGACAAGTGTTATCGGACTATCTCTTTCTCTTAGTGATTCCCAGTGATGTTGAGTGCTTGATGGGCAACTGTCGATCTCCCATAAAATCCTGCCTAGGCCTGTTTTATGGAGAAGACATTCTAGCAAAAACACTAGATGAATCAAATCTTTCCAGGAGAGTTCCATTGTATCTCGAGACTGATGGATGCCAGACACACACGCAGAAGTTTAAATATCTGGGAAGCGTCTTGACAGAAGACGGTAAGTGCGTCATTGAGATCCGAAGACGTATTGGGATGGCCAAAGATGTATTCCAAAAGCTGAGCAGAGTATTGCGAGACACCAGGATTTCTTTGGTAACAAAGAAAAGAATACTGGGCTGTTACGTGACATCTGGCCTTCTTTACAGCAGCGAATGTTGGACGATTCCCTCAAAGATGAAGAAGAGACTCGAGGCGACGGAGATGTGGTTCTACTGAAGGATGCTAAAGATCCCATGGACCGAGCATGTGAGCAACGATGAGGTCTTAGATAGGTTACAAACGAGGAGGAGGCTTATACTTAACATCAGAAAGAGGTAGC